GGGTATGCACTGGTATTGGGTATGCACTGGTATTGGGTATGCACTGGTACTGGGTATACATTGGTATTGGGTATGCACTGGTACTGGGCATGCACTGGTACTGGGTATGCACTGGTATTGGATATACACTGGTATTGGGTATGCACTGGTATTGGATATACATTGGTATTGGATACACACTGGTACTGGGTATGCACTGGTACTGGGTATGCACTGGTATTGGGTATGCACTGGTATTGGGTATGCACTGGTACTGGGTATACATTGGTATTGGGTATGCACTGGTACTGGGCATGCACTGGTACTGGGTATGCACTGGTATTGGGTATGCACTGGTATTGGGTATGCACTGGTACTGGGTATACACTGGTATTGGGTATGCACTGGTATTGGGTATGCACTGGTACTGGGTATACACTGGTATTGGGTATGCACTGGTATTGGGTATACACTGGTATTGGGTATACACTGGTATTGGGTATGCATTGGTATTGGATATACACTGGTACTAGGTATACACTGGTACTGGGTATACACTGGTAAAATTGATGTATCTTTCGAAGAAAAGACTTCAGGTTCTGCTGTCTTCAGCAGACAGTCTGTCAGCTGTCTCTGTGTCTCCTGTCCCTCTCCTACATCCTGTCTCGTCTTTGTCTCTGTGTCTCTTGTCTAATTACAGCGTCTCTGTGGTCAAAGCTGTGAATTTACTTGGAGTTGTGTAAAAACTCAGTTCTGACCCAAATCACTGCTCAGTTTGGATCCAACAGAACAGTTTTATATTTATTTTTTATTCATTTAAATTATGTTCTGGTAAATCTGTCAGCGTGTTTTATCAAATTTTATTTTATTAATAGTTATGTTAATAATTAATCGTGCTTCAGTTGATATAATGACCTCTTCCTGTAGTTTGAGTCAAACATCAGATTGTTAGAGCAGTTTAAGACCTTTTGTTTGGTTTATTAGGAAACAGCAGCTGGTGTCGTGCTGCGAGCTCAGGATGCTTTAAAACAGCTGAATTTGAGGCACTAAGCAGCCGAAAAGTTTCCTCTCCTCATAAAACTCAAAGTTTACCACCCAGAGAGCAGCACTTCTCCTTTCAACAGTCCTGAAGAAGCAGCTGCTTCATTTATTCACTCGTTCATCTTAGAAATACACAGAAGTGATTTTAGCTGCAAACAAATAAAGTCTTCAGAAGAACGAGACAAAACTTTAAGAAAGCTTTTTCAGGACAAAACTGATTTCATATCGTATTTTTATAAATCCATGTCAAATGCACCTGATTTAAAGATAATGACTGAAACTCCTGCATAGTGATGTTGTAAAAAATAAACAAATAAATAATTAAATAAACAAACAAACAAACAAACAAATAAATAAATAAATAAATAAATAAATAAATGGACCACAGAACAACATTTAGAAGCAAAACTCAGGTATTAGTGTAATAATTGTGCTCTATAAAAACTCAGACATGTTTTTATGTTGCAGAGACAAAGTTTACAGGAAAAAATTAAAATAATGTCTTAAAAACTCTCAAAAGTTGAGGAAGTTTATCAAATTTAAAAAATACAAACATCAAAGACATAAATATGCAAACATTACATCTGGATCTTCTCTCAAATCTAAATTATAAATAAAAACTCACTTTTATAAAAAAACTGTTTTTTCTTGTAAATTTAAACATTCTCATCAGAGGAAATCAGTTTTTAAGCCACGAAAAACCTTTTTTCTAATGATTTTCAAACTTAATAAAATATTCAGATTTTTTATATTTATTGTCTGAATTTCAGATGTTTTTAAGTGTTGTCAGCAGCTCCTTTTTGTAATGGCCCAAATATTTGTTAATACTACCTTAGTTTGTGGATTTGTGGTGAGAAACAACAAACTTTTAGTTTTACCACTCAGACTCCATCATAGCGGGGGCTGGAGTCCCTCAGGGATGTGTACTCGGTCCTTCAGTTTTCATTCTGAGGGACTGGGGCTGGAGTCCCTCAGGGATGTGTACTCGGTCCTTCAGTTTTCATTCTGAGGGACCGGGGGCTGGAGTCCCTCAGGGATGTGTACTCGGTCCTTCAGTTTTCATTCTGCTAACTTCAAATTCAGCCCAAATCAGCGTCTTCACCTGAAACATAAAATGAACGACTGATTTAAGAAGTTTCACTGCATTACATCAGGGTTTTGTTTCAGGAGAAATGCTGGCGCTTCATTTTTTCTGCAGCAGCAGCTCCACGTGTGGAAAGCTTTACCTTCATAGTTAAAGGAAAACATGATCTGTTTAAGAAAAGCTGCTTTTTAACAACATCGTGTAAAGATCAAAGGCTGCCTGATTTTATCGCAGGATTACAGCAGCAGTTCTGTTCCCAATGAGAAGCAGGTGTCGGCTGATCCCAGGGCCTCATAATGAGGGCTGCAGGAGGGCCCACAGCAGCGTAATGAAACGTTACTCTGTGAGGAAGACAATGCTGGCTGAGAGAGAACAATAACACAACCACAAACTGAGACTGAAGGAGACGTACCTTCTGATGTGTGGGATCAGGACCAGAGACCATTCTTTAGTTTCAGGTAAAGAAAAACACAAATCAGAGTCGCTGCCTTCATAAAGATCATGACTGAACATAACTACAGCCATGTGTTAAACTAGAGTCTGCTCATTTCACCCTCCTGCTGTCCTGGGGTCAAAACGACCCCAGGCCTCAGGGCGGGGGTGTGGGGGGCTAGCAGAAGGGTTAAATGAATTTTAAGTTCTCTTATTTACCAGCTGAACAAGAAGACAGAAAGTTGTCTAATCGTAAAGATGTTTTGTTTCCATGAGAGATGATAACTTCAGTCTAACTGTGAAGAAAGTATGAGCTGTGCCCACTCTTGCAGCCCTGAGGGCAGCAGCTTCACCGCTGCGCTCCACGGATAAAAACAAAAACAAACAATAAAAACACCAAATAAGAGCTGTAGGAATGAATGATAACCTTTGTGATGTTTAGCTGTTCATACATTAAATCAGCTCATTTGGTTCATATAACTTTGATACTTTTATATAAACTTATCCCCCAAATCTGTTGAAATACTTTAGCTACTACATCTTTTTTATACTACTTTTTGATATTTTAACTTTTAGCTAAGTCTCTTTTTCTTTTAGCTTTTAGTGAACTTTTAGCTTCTTTTAGCTAGCCCTTTGATACGTTTTTTCTTAGTCAGTATTCTGTTCAGTTTCAGCTTCATCACCATGTTTCAGCAACACTCAGCAGTTGTTCGGCTGTCATTCAAATGTCGTTAGTCAGTCAATGGGAAGTCGTTCAGCAGTCATTCAGGAGTTGTTCGGCTGTCGTTCAGCTTTTATTCAGCTGTTGTTCAGCCGTCATTCAGTAGTCGTTCAGCAGGTACTCAGTTTTTGATCAGCAGTCATTCGTCAGTTTATCGGCTGCAGCTGTTGTTTAGCCATTTTTCAGCAGTCTGTCAGCAATTGTTCAGCAGTTGTTTGGCTATCATTCAGCTTTGGTTCAGCTGTTGTTCTGCTATTGTTCAGCTGTCGTACAGTTGTTGTTCAGCTGTCGCCTGGCTATTGTTCAGCAGTTGTTCTATCATTCAGCTGTTGTTCGGCTGTCATTCAGCAGTTTTTTGGCTATTGTTCAGCTGTTGTTCGGCTGTCGTTCAGCAGATTTTTGGCTATTGTTCAGCTGTTGTTCGGCTATCGTTCAGCAGGTTTTTGGCTATCATTCAGCAGTCGTTTGGCTGTCATTCAGCAGGTTTTTGGCTATCGTTCAGCAGTTTTTTGGCTATTGTTCAGCTGTTTTTCGGCTGTTGTTCAGCAGTTTTTTTGGCTATCATTCAGCTGTTGTTCTGCTGTCATTAAGCAGTTCTTTGGCTATCATTCCGCTGTCGTTTGGCTGTCGTTCAGCAGTTTTTTGGCTATCATTAAGCTGTTGTTCTGCTGTCGTTCAGCAGTTCTTCGGCTATCGTTCAGCTATCATTCAGCAGTCGTTTGACTGTCATTCAGCAGTTTTTTTGGCTATTGTTCAGCTGTTGTTCGGCTGTCGTTAAGTAGTTCTTTGGCTATCATTCAGCAGTCGTTTGGCTGTCGTTCAGCAGTATTTTGGCTATTGTTCAGCTGTTGTTAGGCTGTCGTTCAGCAGTTCTTTGGCTATCATTCAGCTGTTGTTCGGCTGTCGTTCAGCAGTTTTTTGGCTGTTGTTCAGCTGTTGTTTAGCTGTTGTTCGGCTGTCGTTCAGGAGTTTTTGGCTATCATTCAGCAGTCGTTCGGCTGTCGTTCAGCAGTATTTGGCTATTGTTCAGCTGTTTGGCTGTCGTTTAGTTCTTTGGCTATCATTCAGCAGTCGTTTGGCTGTCGTTCAGCAGTATTTTGGCTATTGTTCAGCTGTTGTTCGGCTGTCGTTCAGCAGTTTTTGGCTATCATTCAGCAGTCGTTCGGCTGTCGTTCAGCAGTATTTTGGCTATTGTTCAGCTGTTCGGCTGTCGTTAAGTAGTTCTTTGGCTATCATTCAGCAGTCGTTTGGCTGTTGTTCAGCTGTCGTTCGGCTGTCATTCAGCAGTCGTTCGGCTGTCGTTCAGCAGTTGTTCAGCTGTCGTTCAGCAGTCGTTCGGCTGTCGTTTGGCTGTCGTTCAGCAGTTGTTCAGCTGTCGTTCAGCAGTTGTTCAGCTGTCGTTCAGCAGTTGTTCAGCACCCAGCTGATCTCACAGAAAGTGAGTTGGTGTAGCTCCATGGTTCTGTCTCCCTGCTGATCCAGGTGTTTCAGAGCAGGTTGTGTCAGCTGTGCAGAACGAATGTGTCGACGTGACATTTTTCACTCTGAACAGATAAAAATAGTCCAACTCTCTGCAGGACAACAGAACAGCTGCAGTAATTACAGCCAGCTTGGGTTTGGCTGCTTCTACTCCAGCATCACGCCTGCAGAAAATGTCACCATAAAACCCGTCTCTCTGCCATCAGAGCTAGAAGAATCTGCTCTTTGAGCTTCAACCTGCAGAAAGTTTTTCTCTGTGAACCACAGCTGTCACTGAGCCACATCTGGACACTAACCTCTGCTTTATCTTTCTTTGGGAGGGTAAATTTAGCTTCTCTGCAGCTGGAAGTACAATTACAGAAGCTGTGGTCACATGACTGACGGGTAGAAACGACCCGGACTTTAATCTGAAATGTATCTGTTTACAACAAATAAGAAAAGAACTTAGAAACACAAAACATCTGGGAACAGGAGAACTGTGAGGATGAGTATAGAGAACAGGTTAGGGTTTAAACAGAAGCTCCAGTCAGACAACTTTATTTATTATAAAACAAATCAAGACAATAAGGAGTGAAAATAATTTGGGAGCCCAGAAACAAAACGTCACCTCCTAATATATTAATATACTGAGACATCAGGATGAAGATCAGTGAGGAAGAGGAGGAGAAAACAGCCGAAAAATAATCAGACGTGACTGCAATAAATTCTGATAGATTATTCATTATCATCACACCTAATCTGCAGTCACACAAACACACAGGCTCACTGCAGCAAAGGATTCTGGGAGATTGAGTTCAATCTCTTCTTCTGCTGTTTTATAAAGAAAACACTGCAGGTGACCGCGTTCAGCCCAATCAGCTCCCAGGATCGAAGGAATGTTGACACACACACACACACACACACACACACACACACACACACACACACACACACACACACACACACACACACACACACACACACAGTACAGATGACAACATTTCACAACTCGTCTTGTTTTTATGATCGAATGTGTTTCAGAGCCAGAGGCTAACGGTTAAACTGCTAACGCTAACAGTAAGAAGAACTTCATGTGGAATTATTTTCCACATTTTAAATAAATGTTTTAATGACTCTAATTATCTGTAAGCTGGTTATATTTCTGTTCTCATTGTTCTGTTAAAGATCCTCCTCTGAATATAAAGTCTTCATGTTCTGTCATGAAACAATGTAAAAACATTTAAAAACAATTTAAAGGCTTTTAAAGAACCTTACACATTACTGACATCTAGTGGTCAGATTGGAAACAACAACCATCTTAAATGCTACAATAATCTTTTCTTAATCAGTCATTTCCATCTAAAACTCCAAACGAGCTTCATCTCTTTCTGTTTGATGGTCCAGTTTAAACAACCAGTTCAGTGAAAACAAACCTGAAACCAAGAAACTGGTAAAAATCTGAGCTTTACTTTTCACTCGCTACGACTTCATCCAACAGGTTTTCTTTCAACCGTAAATGTTTACTGCGCCTCACGTCCACGTACAGTGTTTGAGAGGAAAAAAGCTTCTGAAAGGGAAGATTAGAAAAAGATTTGAGTTAAAAATAAAAACACAATGTTGAGTTTCCTGCTGTAAGACCACAGCAAACCACCAGGCTGCGACTGGAGGGGAGGGACCAGAGACAAGAAGAACATGGAGGACGTCTTCCCCGAGGAGGTCACCATGTTCAGGGGTCACAGAGACCTGAAGTCCTGCCCTTCCTTAAAAACAGTCAGAGTGTACACAGAGTGGTCACAGTGTGGTCACAGTGTGGTCACAGAGTGATCACAGAGTGGTCACAGAGTGGTCACAAGAGTGGTCACAGAGTGATCACAGAGTGGTCACAGAATGATCACAGAGTGGTCACAGTGGTCACAGAGTGGTCAAAAAGTGCCCACTGAGTGGTCTCAAAGTTGCCAGAGTGGTCACAGAGTAATCAAAGAGTGGTCACAGAGTGGTCACAATGGTCACAGAGTGATCACAGACTGTTCACAGAGTGGTCACAATGGTCACAGAGTGATCAAAAAGTGCCCACAGAGTGGTCTCAAAGTGGCCAGAGTGGTCACAGTGTGGTCACAGAGTGATCACAGAGTGGTCACAGGGGTCACAGACTGTTCACAGAGTGGTCACAATGGTCACAGGCTGTTCACAGAGTGACCACAGAGTGGTCACAGAGTGGTCACAATGGTCACAGACTGTTCACAGAGTGACCACAGAGTGGTCACAGAGTGGTCACANACTGTTCACAGAGTGACCACAGAGTGGTCACAGAGTGGTCACAGTGGTCACAGAGTGATCACAGAGTGGTCACAGAGTGGTCACAATGGTCACAGGCTGTTCACAGAGTGGTCACAGACTGTTCACAGAGTGATCACAGAGTGGTCACAGACTGTTCACAGAGTGGTCACAGAGTGACCACAGAGTGGTCACAGTGGTCACAGAGTGACCACAGAGTGGTCACAGAGTGGTCACAATGGTCACAGGCTGTTCACAGAGTGGTCACAAACTCTCACCATCCCTGACTCCAGGTGTGATCTGAGGACTGAACTCAAATCTTTTGTCTTGTTTTACAACCAGCTGAGTTCTGATCCGCCTGGTTTTTAAAATCCTGACTTGTTGTCCTCGGTCCCTCAGCAGGTGTCCTCCAGCTTCTGGACTTGTTTTAGACGTGGACATGTTTCCTGTCAGACAGCTCCTGCAGGAGGACAGTCCCAGCTGCAGGGACTCTGGGACAGACGTTTAACTGTCCTCAGCAGCAGCTCGGGTGGCTTTAAGGTTCCTCCTCTGACTGGTTCTGGGTCTCTGAGACACACAGGTTCTGATCCGGTCATGTCCACAACAACATCCAGAAGAAGTAAAAATACACTAAAACAGAGAAATCCAATAAAACCTAGACTTTGCTACACTATGACCTGAACTCCAGTGTGGGGGGACAGGGACAGGAGGAACTGGAGACACTGACAGTGTTGGACAGACAGAACCAGGTCCAACGCAGACAGAAGAAAAGTTCTGAAGAAGCTGGGACAACCGAAGGGTTTCTTCTCCCTTCACCTCGTCTCTCAGGCTGGAGTCTGAACCCAGCTCTGTCCTGTCTTCTGTCCTCTGTCCTGTCCAACAGTGTAGTTCCAGTCTGTGGTTCAGAAGTCAGTCCGTCACCTTGCAGGTGTCCCGGCAGTCCTGAGAACCGGACCGCTCACTGGGTGACGTGGGGCCTCAGGGCCTGATAAAGTCCCTCAAACGTGGGTCGGTCCGGAATGTTGCGACTCCAGCAGCGCATCATCAACTCGAAGAGAGACGGGGGGCAGAGCGGGGGGCCGTAGAGGAAGATCTGGGACAGGAAGTACAAAGGACAGTTACAGAAGACTTCAGTCTGGATCTGAGACACGACAAAAAAATCTGATTGTTTTTATTAAAACAACAAAAATCTAAATTTATCAATTTGTTCAACTCTTTGAAGAGACACTGATAAAAAAAACCTCAAGATTACAGAAACCAGTTCTGTCAGGGGTCCAGGTTTAAGGTCCAGAACCTCAGAAAAGTCCTGATTCTGGAACAAAAAACAAAACAGCGCCACCTGGTGGACAAAATGAAAACTCCAGCTCTCAAACTGGATTAACAGAAACTGGTCACTAGCTGTGTTTCCTTTGACCATGAAAATGCGCAAATTAGAATTTCGAAAATAAATTTGCTCAATGGAAACACGTCAATTTAGAAAAAAATTACGTTTTTCGACAAAATGTTTTTGCGCTAGGATGAGGTGGTTTTTCAGCCGTATCAAAATTGGTGTTTTTCGCAAAACTGCAATGGAAACAGTTTTTTCACATCACAGGAGTCACGTGATCAACAACCGGCTGTTTCTACTGGTGAAAAAGACGATGATGAAGAAGATAACAGGAAGTAGAAGTAGTCGTAATATCACAGAAGTAGTATAAAATAGTAAACTCAGCGACTACAATTTCCCAAAAACACAGCATACGTAGCTGCTCCCAAGTAGGGACTTGTCTCTGGAAAGCCTCGATAAAAGACGCCGACGTCTCCTCTGATGATGAGCGCTAGTGTCGTGGTAGCAACATGCTATGTGTTTACATGCATCGCTGCCATGTTTGTAATGACTTATCATGAGAACAAACGTATTCACGTGACTTTAATARCATTTCTTACTTAATGGAAACACTGCAGTTGCGAAACTGTGTTTTTCCGACATTAAGAGATTATCGACAAAGTTTTGCGCACATTTGTAATGGAAACGCAGCTAGTCACTCCTGAGGAACTGGAGCTCCATTTTTCAGTCAGGTTTATAAATCCAGGATCTGAGCTAAAAGCTGAGCTTGAACAAGCCTCAACCTGTCAACAGCTGTAATCTGTTGCTCTGACATCAGGCCATGCCTCATCAGGGTGGCTCCTTCAAGCAGCTGTCAACCATTCAGGATTGATTACTAGACCCACTGAGTGGATCAAAGATTTCCTGATCAGGCATGCGTAGTAAGACACGTGAGTTGATTGATTGATTGACCAGTTCAGTCTGGTCCTGTCTGGTCCTGCTCACCTGGCGGCCCTGGTTTCTGAAGAACTCTCCAGAGTTCTCGATGACCTGTTCGTCAGACAGCAGGCTGTAGGGCTGCTCCTTGCAGAGGGTGAAGATCTCCCACAGCGTCACACCGAACGCCCACACGTCGCTGGCTGTGGTGAACTTCCCCTGAACACAAAACCAGTTCCAGTTCAGAAAACAGCTGTAAGAATTATCACCAGAAAGCATTACAGTCACCATCAAATCCATTGTTCCATCAGCTGAAGTTGTTGAAATTCTATGATTTGGTTGATTATAGTATTTTATCAGTCATGTATAGGGCTCATAAAAACACACTACCTTCAAACATTCAATTACATTTTATTAAAAGAGAGGGTTGTTATAATTTGAAGGGGATTGAAATGTTTGTCTCCTCTGTTGGGCTGCTACCTTATCGTGGTGGAGAGGTTTGAGAGTCCCAATGATCCTAGGATCTATGTTGTCGGGGGTTTCATGCCCCCAGTAGGGTCACCCAAGGCAAAAAGGTCCTAGGTGAGGGATCAGACAAAGTGCAGCCCAAAGACCCCTACGATGAACACAATAAATGGATTCAGTGTTCCCTCACCCAGACGCGGGTCACCGGGGCCCCACTATGGAGCCAGGCCTGGAGGTGGGGCACGTTGGTGAGCGCCTGGTGGCCGGGCTTTCACCCATGGAGCCCGGTCGGGCACAGCCTGAAGAGGAGAGGTGGGTCCCCCTTCCCATGGGTTCACCACCTGTGGGAGGGGCCGTAGGGGTCAGGTACAATGTGTTTTGGGCAGTGGTCGAAGGTGAGGACCTTGGCGGTCTGATCCTCAGCTACAGAAGCTGGCTCTAGGGACGTGGAATGTCACCTCTCTGGTGGGGAAGGAGCCCGAGCTGGTGTGTGAGGTTGAGAGGTTCCCACTAGATATAGTTGGACTCACCTCGATGCACCGCACTGGCTCTGGAACCAGTCTCCTCCAGAGGGGTTGGACTCTCTTCCACTCTGGAGTTGTCCATGCTGAGAGGCGCCAAGCAGGAGTGGGCATACTTATTGCTCCCCCATCTCGGTGCCTGTACGTTGGGGTTCACCCCGGTGAATGAGAGGGTAGCCTCCCTCCGCCTAAGAGTGGGGGGATGGGTCCTGACTGTTGTTTGTGCCTATGAGCCTAACAGCAGTTAAGATTACCCACCCTTTCTGGAGTCCTTGTAGTGGGTGCTGGAGAGTGCTCCGAACGAGGACTCCCTCGTTCTGCTGCAGGACTTCAACGCTCACGTGGGCAATGACAGTGAGACCTGGAGAGGCGTGGTTGGGAGGAACGCCCCCCCCCMCCTGAACCCGAGTGGTGGTTTGTTATTGGACTTCTGTGCTCGTCATGGATTGTTCATAATGAACACCATGTTCAGACATAAGGGTGTCCATATGTGCTCTTGGCACCAGGACACCCTAGGCTGCAGTTCGATGATCGACTTTGTTGTTGTTTCATCTGATCTGCGGCCGAATGTTTTGGACACTCGGGTGTAGAGAGGGGTGGAGCTGTCAACTGACCACTACCTGGTGGTGAGTTGGCTCCATTGGTGGGGGAGGATGCCAGTCAGACCTGGCAGACCCAAACGTATGGTGAGGATCTGCTGGGAACGTCTGTCAGAGTCTCCCATCAGAAGGAGCTTCAACTCACACCTCCGGGGGAACTTCAAACATGTTCTGGGGGAGGTGGGGGACATTGAGTCCGAGTGGGCCATGTTCGGTGCCTCCATTGTCGAGGCGGCTTACCTGACCTGTGGCCGTAAGGTTGTCGGTGCCTGTCGTGGCGGCAATTCTCGAACCCGCTGGTGAACACCTGGGGTGAGGGATGCTGTCAGGCTGAAGAAGGAGTCCTATTGGGCCTTTTTGGTCTGTGGGACTCCGGAAACAGCCGATAGGTATCAGCAGTCAAAGCGGATTGTGGCTCGGGTGGTTGCTAAGGCAAAAACTTGGGCATGGGAGAAGTTCGGTGAGGTCATGGAAAAAGACTTCCGTTTGGCTTCGAGGTGATTCTGGTCCACCATCTGGCATCTCAGGTGGGGAAAGAGGATCGCCACCAACACTATTTATGGTGGGGATGGTGCACTGCTGACCTCAACTTGGGACGTTGTGGGTCATTGGGTGGAATACTTCGAGGACCTCCTCAATCCTACCGACACGTCTTCCCATGAGGAAGCAGAGCCTGAGGACCCTGGGTCAGACTCTCCAATCCCTGGTGCTGAGGTCACTGAGGTGGTTAAAAAGCTCCTCGGTGGCAGGGCGCCGGGGGTGGATGAGATTCGCCCGGAGTTCCTTAGGGCTCTGGATGTTGTGGTGCTGCAATGATTGACGCGACTCAACAATATCACATGGACATCGAGGGCAGTTCCTCTGGATTTGCAGACCGGGGTGGTGGTCCCCCTATTTAAAAAGGGGGACCGCAGAGTGTGTTCCAACTATAAGGGGATCACACTTCTGAGCCTCCCTGGTAAGGTCTATTCGGGGTTTCTGGAGAGGAGAGTCCGTTGGATAGTCGAATCTCAGATTCAGGAAGAGCAGTGTGGTTTTCGTCCTGGTCGTGGAACACTGGACCAGCTCTACACCCTCAGCAGGGTCCTGGAGGGTTCATGGGAGTTCAACCAGTCTACAAGTGTTTTGTGGACTTGCAGAAGGCATTTGACCATGTCCCTCAGGGACTCCTGTGGGGGGTACTCTGGCAGTATGGGGTACCAGGCCCATTGATACGGGCTGTTAGGTACCTGTATGATCGGTGCCAGAGCTCGGTCCGCATTGCTAGTAGTAAGTTGGACTTGTTTCCAGTGAGAGTTGGACTCCACCAAGATTGTCCTTTGTCACCGATTCTGTTCATAACTTTTATGGACAGAATTTCTAGGAGCAGCTCTTTGTGGATGATGTTGTCCTATTGGCTTCATCAGATCCTGATCTTCAGCTCTCAATGGAGCGGTTCGCAGCGGAGTGTGAAGCGGCCCGGATGAGGATCAGTGCCTCCAAATCCCAGACCATGGTCTTGAGCTGGAAACCGGTAGCGTGCCTTCTCCTGGTCAGGGAGGAGGTCCTGCCCCAAGTGGAGGAGTTTAAGTATCTCAGGGTCTTGCTCATGAATGAGGGAAGAATGGAGCAGGAGATCAACAGGTGGATTGGTGCTGTGTCTGCAGTGATGTGGGTGTTGTACCGGTCTGTCGTGGTGAAGAGAGCTGAGCCAGAAGGTGAAGCTCTCAGTTTACCAGTGGGTCTACGTTCCTACCCTCATCTATGGTCAGGAGCTTTGGGTAGTGACTGAAAGAAGGAGATCACAGATACAAGCAGCTGAAATGAGTTTCCTCTGCAGGGTGTCTGGGCTCTCCCTTAGAGATAGGCTGAGAAGCTCAGTCATCCAGGAGGGACTCAGAGTAGAGCCGCTGCTCCTCCACGTCCAGAGGAGCCAGTTGAGGTGGTTCATCTGGTTAGGATGCCTCCTGGACTCCTCCCTGGTGAGATGTTCTGGACACGTCCCACTGGGTCGAGACCCAGAGGAAGACCCAGGACACGCTGGAGGGACTATGTCTCTCAGCTGGTCTGGGAACACCTTGGGATTCCCCCAGAGGAGCTGGTCCAAGTGTCTGGAGAGAGGGAAGTCTGGGTCTCTGCTGAGGCTGCTGCCCCCGAGACCTGACCCTGGATTAGAGGAAGAAGATGATGGATGGATGAATGAAAAGTTCGTGAGATCTAAAGGTAGAACCGGTTTGAAGGAACGGAGTATCTCAGTCCAGGGAATTAAATTATGGAATAATCTGGAGGATGACATTAAAAATGCCGGATCAATGTGTATATTTAAGAGAATTATAAAGGTTAATTTGTTGGAGAAATATCTATGAGTATAATGTACGAATTGTTGCTCAAGAAGGAATTAAACCTTTATTGTTTTTCTTTTATATTTTGTACGTTTTTGTAAATTGAAGATTATTTTTGATTGAATTTATTTATTTGAGAAAAAGGGGCAGAAATCATAAGAATTTTTTCTTCTTCTGCTGCCTGTCATTTGGTTTATGATTTACATTTTTATTGAATATTGAATTTATGTTTTGTTTWAAATGAATAAACTTTATAATAATAATAAAAGTTCCAGCTTTAAAGATCTGTGGAAATCCTGGCACCAGGTCTGAGTCTGGTCCCGAGCCCCTCACCAGCAGGATGCTCTCCCAGGCCATCCAGCGGATGGGCAGCACGGCCCGGCCCTGGATCCGGTAGTAGTCGCTGCTGTACAGGTTCCTGCTCATCCCGAAGTCGGCGATCTTGATGGTGAGGCGGCGGTCCAGCAGGCAGTTCCTGGTGGCCAGGTCCCGGTGCACGAAGTTCAGCGAGGCCAGGTACTTCATCCCAGAGGAAATCTGCACGGCCATGTGGAGGAGGTCCGACAGACTGGAGGGAGACAGAGGGAGGAGTCAGTGGGCAGGGCGGCAGCTGTGATTGGACACCTGCGGTCCTTACTCCACCTGACTGAAGGGATGTTGTTGGCGTGCGTCAGCGTGCTCTCCATCTCCCGCTGGGACAGGAACATGTTCAGGTCTCCGTTCTCCATGTACTCGGTCACCATGCAGAGCGGGTCGGACGACACGCACACACACAGCAGCCGGATGATGTTGGCGTTGTCCAGACGGGACATGATCTTTATCTCCTTCAGGAAGTCGTTCCTGACGGACGCAGACACACAGCGTTATGACTGAACTCTTCACCTGACAGTGAAACGGTTCTGTTCTCAGCACCTGGCCTGACTCGTGGCGTCCGCCCTCAGCTGTTTGACCGCCACCAGCACCGAGCGTCCGTCTCTGTCCGGGAGGGGCGACCCCTCCCCCAGGAACTCGGGGAGCCCCTCGGCCTCACACAGGTGGACCTGCAGCAGAAGGAGGTGAGCCATCCTGCCTGCAGACATTCACAGTCCTGCCTCACTGACTCCACCCACCTCTCCAAACTGCCCCTCCCCCAGCTTCTCCCTGAAGATCAGCTGCTGCCGTGGGAACTCGGCGGCGGAGATGTCCTTCCTGGTCAGGGAGTCCACGGTGAGGGCGGGGACGGCGTACATGTTGCTGCCGGTGACGCCCTGCAGGCGCACGATGTCCGTCTCAGCATAGTGCGGCGCGCTGCTGTTGAAGCACTGGTGGGGGGTGCACTGGGTGACGTCCGGCTCAGCGTAGCCCCCCCCAAAGGCTGTCAGAGACAGAGGGCTTCAGGTAAACTACAACAACAACAACAACAACAACAACAACAACAGGGAGGAGTGTACATAAAAACACTGAAAAAAAACTGAGAATCATTTGGTAACACAGTGTTATGATCTTGTAACAGTTTGTAAGTGCTGGTATAATAATCATGTAATTACAGCTCTGTAATAAATGGTTATAATTTAATAACATTATGTAATTACTAATATGATAATCATGTAATTACAAATCTGTGATAAAGGGTTATAATTTAGTAACATTATGTAATAACTAATATAATAATCGTGTAATTACAAATCTGTAATAAAGGGTTATAATTTAGTAATATTANATTATGTAATAACTAATATAATAATCGTGTAATTACAAATCTGTAATAAAGGGTTATAATTTAGTAACATTATGTAATTACTAATATAATAACCGTGTAATTACAGCTCTGTAATAAAGGGTTATAATTTAATAACATTATGTAATTACTAATATGATAATCATGTAATTACAGCTCTGTAATAAAGTATTAAATATAAAATAAAAGTTTTAATTTGAATATTTATTTATTAGGATGTTTTTACATCAGAGTAAAATGATCTCAGTGAAGGATTCAAATTAGAAAGGAGCAATAATTAATCAAACTGTTTAATCAACAAAGTTTTCAGGTTATTTGGGTTGAAATTTCTGTCTGAAATGATGAAATGTTTAATAACCCCGAGGCTCTTGGTTCTTTTCTTCCTGCTTTAGTTTGTTTTTAAAGTTCTCAGACACAACATCAAAGTTCTGTTGAACCTTTGAGGGTCCAGACCCTGCTGAAGACTTTAAAACACGTCCATTCACACCTTTCAGCTCTTACCACCAAACCAGCCTGACGCCATGTGACAGGAAGTCAGCAGGAGCAGGTCATAGAGGGGGTTACCCAGGAGGAGGGCTGGAGGAAGAGGAGACAGAAAGAAGGAGGAGCTGGGAGGAAGAGGAGAGAAACAGTGCAGAGTGACTGAGCATGCAGGAAAACATGACCCCAAAGAACAGACAGAACCTTGCTGCAGCCGGTTCTGGAGCTGAAAGAACCAGAGACAGAGAAGAAACAACAAACAGGATCCAGACTTCATTTCTCTGAAAACCTCCTGTTTCTGACAAATTCATCCAAAACCTCCTGAACAGGAATGAGTTTTAACCCACTCTGCGTCTGGATAGGTTGGGTCCGGTTTGGCCTGGTTCAAACCTGCCGGGTCAGAACTGCTCACAAGCTGTGTTTCCATTACAAATGTGCACAAAACTTTGTTGATATTCTGTTAATGTTGAAAAACAGTTTCACAACTGCAGTGTTTCCATTAAGTAAGAAATGTTCTTAAAGTCACGTGAATACGTTTGTTCTCATGATAAGTCATTACAAACATGGCAG